ACACACACACACACACACACATATTTAATGGAGAATATTGCTACATATGTATTTGTACATGCTGCAAATACATACAGGAATACAGTACAGCATACTGAGGGCAAAGCTGTGAAAACTTCTCTGCCATAACCAAACACACCTTGAGGGAATGAGTCACTGAGCACGAGGGCTCAGAATCAAAGTCTTGGGAGACATCAAGGTCAACTGGCATAACACAGTCCACAAAGACAAAGTTCTACATTCTACTTAGTTGAGTACCAACTAGGGATTTAAAAGCTTGTGAGTAGCCATCTAATAATTACTGGTCTCTTCCAATCTAGAGCACAGAAGAGTAAAGAATACCAAAGATGCATGGAAACAATTAGTGTGAAGGACTAATGGACCATGCAAACCATTAGGAAACAGACTGCCAGCCTTTCTTCCATGGTGACACCGGGTTAGTCTGAACCACCAATCTCTAGGTTGCAAATTACTCGTGCCACTTAGGGACCGTCCATAAAGATTCAAACTCTCACTGCCATCGCGTCAGATTCTGACTCACAGCAAATCCCACTGGGTTTCCAAGGCTGTAAATCCTTACAGAAGCAGACTGCCTCATCTTTCTTCCACAGAGCGGCTGGAGAGTTTGAACCACCGACCTTCTGGTTAGTAGCCAAATGCCTTAACTACTATGCCACTGAGCAGAAAATGTTAAGAAGCAGCTTTCTTTAACACATGTTGATTGCCATGCATTGGAATCAACTGGATGGCAATGGGTGGGTTATCTTCATGATATTACACTGTCTTAATATTTGTAATAGCAAACAGATACCTTAATAATGAGCTCCATTATACGGGGAAATGTGTCCTAGTCATTTTTTTCTTATACCTTCACAACCAGTATGGGTCTGTACTTGGAATGTATTCAGGATATGTTTACTGAACAAATCTTTACATCATTTATCCATTAATTCATGTATCACAGATGCAGCCAGAATGCAATCAAATTAAAAAGGTAGCCATACAAAGAAAAAAATGATACTTTGCTCTTTGATATATAATAGTTCTCTTATAATTCTTAGATAACTTTAAAGATTGTTAAATATAATAATTAGTATCTAAAGAGTTCAAATATGAGCAACACTTAATTAAACTTCAAAGGGTAAACAAATTGCTGTTTTTGGATAGTCAACTCATTATTTTTGTGGCAGTTTTCCCATCGCATCTCTTAACTCAAAAGACTAATATGAAAAGGGATTTTTTTCTTCCAAAAGGAGAGAACAAAATGGTTTCTTGATATACAAATAATTGCAGCACATGAGAAAAGAAACAGCTTTGTCAAAATATTAAGGAAAAACAAGTGACTCTTGAATCTTGTGTAAACTTAAGAAACTTATATAATAATGCTAAAGTATCAGGTCAATGTTTCAAATATTTTACCACACCCTAGGGAATATCCCAGGAGCTCTGGTAGCATAGTGGCTAAGACACTTGCCTGCTAACCAGACGGCTGGCGGTTCAAACCCACCAGCTTCTCCTCGGAAGGAAGGTTGGGCAATCCTACTTCCGTAGTGATACTGCCTCGAAAATCCAAGGAGGGGTCGCTATGAGTCGGGTTTGACTCAACGGCACATAACAACAACAACAGGGAATATCCCATTATTTCTAAATGTATTCATTTGGAGTCTTAAAAATTTCTCAAAACAGAGTTAATTTTACTTCACTTAAAAAATCATGAATATGATACAAAAGGAAAGGAGAAAGAGTAGTGTTACTACCCCAAACAACAACGGATCTGCCAACATGAAAGACTGTGATGAATACATTCCTACAGACAACAAATTCTTCTTATTCCTAAGTTCACACACACACACAAAGTAAAAAAAAAAAAATTGTTTTTTTATTTCAATTTGAAATCAATGGCATTCAACAAAGCATCTCTGGCTAATCCCTTAACGAATTAACGTTTCAATTCTCTAAACAATAATAAATATCAAAACAAAAGAGTTGCACATGATTGCAAAATGATCGAAAACAAATGTTATACCATGTACCTCACTAAAATTCAAGTAATGCTACGAATGCAAAAAAGCATTGTGAGAAACTGGTCATACATTTTCCTTCATACACTATGCAAAATAAGGTTTAAAAACCAATTTTCAAAGAAAGTTTAATTAAGGGCAGAAAAAATCCTACCTGAAGTTTTCTTGCAATTAATACTGAAAGATTAAAACTTATAAGCAATGACCCAAGAATCATGGAATTAAAAAACTGAAGAATGCAGACCAGGAATAAACTTGTTATCTGTATACCATACAGCCATGTCACCTGCAACAACCAAAGATTAGGTGGTTAAACACATTTATCAAGAGACAACCACTTGCTGACATTTTTGGTCACTGAATGGATGGATCTCAGGTTACAAATAATGCAAAAAGACACCTAACTTGAAAATAATGCAGAAATACATCAAGCTTCAAAATAATGCAAAAAAAACCCCACAGATAGCTTCAATAAACACAATCTAAAAAAAGGAAACCAAATCATATACATACTAGATGTTTCATTACCTTTTAATGCTTTTAATATTTACCAGAATACTTTAAATTTTTTAACGACATAAAAGAGAAAACGAGTGGGGATAATATAAAGTAGAGGAAGCAAACAAGGGTATAAAAGCATTGTCAGAATTGGCAAATGCAGTTTGCAATCTTCAGTTCTCTCCTAAATTCCTGTGTAATTACTGTCTAAAGCCAACAACCAGTACCTTATTGTATTTCATTATTCCTAATATTCTATATTATATGCTTTACGATCAGACAAGCTGTGGGATGACATCAAGAGCATCATACATGAGGAGAGCAAACAGTAATTAAGAAGACAGAAAAGAGATTAAAGACCAAAATGGATGTCAGAAGAACTTGCTCTTGAATAGAGGGTAGCTACAATGAATGGAAGAAATGATGAAGAAGTAAAAGAGCTGAACAGAAAATTTCAAAGGGTGGCTCAAGAAGACAAAGTAAAATATTATGATGAAATGTGCAAAGACCTGGAGTTAGAAAACCAAAAGTGAAGAATATGCTTAGATTTCTCAAGCTCAAAGAACTGAAGAAAAAATTCAAGCTTCGATTTGCAAAACAGAAGGAATCTATGGGCAAAATATTGAATGATGCAGGGAGCATAAAAATAAGATGGAAGGAATACATAGAGTCACTGTACCAAAAAGAATTGGTTAACTTTCAACCATTTTAAAAGTGTATGGTCAAGATGGAATAAGTATTGAAGGAATAAGTCCAATCTGCACTGAAGGAACTGGCAAAAAACAAGGTTCCCAGAACTGACAAAACACCCAGTGAGATGTTTCCACAAACAGATGCAACGTTGGAAGTGCTCATTAGTTTATGTCAAGAAATTTGGAAGATAGCTACCTGACCAACTGCCTGGAAGAGACTGATATTTGTACCCATTCCAAAGAAAGGAGATCCAACAGAATGTGGAAATTATCAAACAATATCATTAATTTCACTTGCAGCAGACATGGAACTGACAGAAATTCAAGCAGGACTCAGAAGAGGTATATCATTGCTGATGTCAGTTGGATCTTGGCTAAATGCAAAGAATACCCAAAAGATGTTTACCTGTGTTTTACTGACTGTTCAAAAGCATTCCATTGTGTGGATCATAACTAATTAATAATACTGCGAAGAATTAGAATTCTAGAACAATTAATTGTGCTCATGCATAACCTGTACAAAAACCAAGAGGCAGTCATTTGAACAGAACAAGGGGATATCACAGTTTAAAATCAGGAAAGGTGTGTGTCAGGGTTTCATCTTTTCACTAGTTATTTAGTATGTATGCTGAGCAAATAATCTGAGAAGCTGGATATCATGGTTGGGGGAAGATTTATTAATAATCTATGTGGTATGAAGATGACACAACTTTGTTTGCTGAAAGTGAGGAAGACTTGAAGTACTTATTTACTGATGAAGGTCAAAAACAACAGCCTTCAGCGTGGATTACACCTCAGTAGAAAAAAAAATCCTCACAAAAGGACTAATAACCGACATCATGATAAATGGAGAAAGGACTAACATTTTCAAGGATTTCATTTTGCTTGGATCCACAATCAACACCCATGGAAGCAGCAGTCAAGAAATCAAATGACGTTATATATGGAAGGAAACTTTCTTTGTTGGTTACTAGGGGTGGGAAAGGAGGGGAGGGAACACTGAAAAAAATAAAAAA